ATTTATTATTAATTTAAGAAATTTCTGCAATTACATATATTTTATATAAGAGAGGGTAAGATCATTTACGAACTAAATGAAGAGAATATAAGATGAGCAAAAAATTCAAAACAACGAAGAGTGTATGTGGTACTAGTAACAATATTTCCTTCAAATTATTTAGGTAGCTGATAAGTTTTAAAACTTATTCTAGCGAAATATTTCCAGAAATCGTATAGGCTTTAAATTTTTTAAAAAATATAAAGTGTTTAAATACTTCAATCCTTATTATTTTAAAAATATGATTAAATTATTTTTGAAATTGTATGGTATCCATTCGAAACCATAGCTCCATTAAACTCAAATTGAAATATATAATTCGCGATGTAAGTAATACAAGTAAATTACGAAAATTTTTAAACTTCAACTCAATTCGTTTTGGAATTGTCACTGAGACGGACAGATGTAACTAATCCGACTCAGAATTCGACCCTGATCTAATACATATGTATACTTACATTTATATGTCAGACGTCAATGTCTTGGCGTTGCAATCAGAGTGAAAAATTTAAAAAAGACTACGGTAACTTGTTTGCGTATTGGAATAATTGTTGGCTTCAAAATATTTTGTTCCAATTTGATTTAATAGTTTGCTCTCAATTCCAATAATAAACCCAAACACAGGCCAAAAACAGAAACTTTCGGAATTTGGAAATTTTTACAAAATTAATTTGAAGAGTTCGGCTTTAAAATAAAAGGACAAATTTTTAAGTTTTTTTTTTTTTTTGAATTTTTTATTAATTTTTTTCATTTTTTTTTTTTATTTTATATAATTAATATTCCAGCTTCATTTCTATATAACTATTTTTTTTTTTGTTTTATTTTTAATTTTAATTTTTCAAATTTTTTTTCTTTTAATAATTTTTAATAACTTTTGTGTTTCAATATTCTGGTAACTTTATAATTCATGTATTTAAATTTTTAAATTTATATATTTTTTTTTTTTGTTATTTTTTTTTGTTAATTTACTTAAAATTTAAATATATTATATATAATGTTTTTTTTTTTTATAACCCTGCATTAATGTTTGTCATTATATATGTATGTTTGATTATGTATGTTTTTTATATATTTTTTTTTTTGCTTTATTTTTTTGAGAACATGTACTTAATTATGTATATAAATTAATTTATAATATTTTGTATGTATGTCAGTATAATCTTAATTTTTTAAATACAATATTAACATTTTTTTTTCTCCATTTTTAAAATTAATTGTAGCAAGTTTATTTTGATAATATTTTGTTTTTGTATATTGAATTTTAAATTTTTAACTTTTGTATTTTTTGTTTTGTTTTTTTTTTACAATTTATATTTAAATATTTTTTACATAAATTTTTTTTTGTATAATTAATTTTATATTATGAATAATTTTGTGGTATGCGCGTTGAAATTAAAATTTCTAACTCAAAAACGTACAAAATATCAATATTGAGTTTGAATGGAATTGAATTTAATACGAGTAATAACTTAACAACAATTGCTCTTCTCTTAAAATATTATTTAAGAGAATTTTTGTAATATTGTAATTGAACTTTCTTAAGCTATGTTATTTGAAGTTAAATTATATTTTATAATTTTATATTAAAACCAGATTGTATAATATTCTCATCAAATTCCCTAAATATTTTTAAATGAAAATAAATTACGATTAAACTGAAAAGAGAATAACAATATTTAAAAAACACAATCAACCGCACTGTTTGTACTTGTTGAAAAATTAAATTATTCTACTCTCTCTTCTCATCATTATTATCAGGCTAGACAAAATTTTTTCTTTATTCGGGAAATTTTATTGTATGTAGACGAAAAACAGGAATTTTCACCATGTTTTATTGTTTTAGTAATTCACGCAAAAAATATTCAAGTAAGTCTAAATATTCTAGTCTGTTAAGTAAATTCAAAAATTTTAATATTAAAATATTTCAATACATTAGAATAGAATATGAATTAATTATGTAACATAAAATGAGAGGCAATTTTAATAGGCATATAAATTAAAAGCTCAGGATTAAAAGAGATTAATTATTATCGAATAGCTATTAAAAATATTTTTAGAAAATTTCATTTATTAAGAAAGTAAACTTGGTTTTTATATTTCTCTTTAAAAAAATTTTCTTTAATTCTAATTAAAAATTCATTTAATTGAATTTTTGTATTGTTAATTATTGTGTTTTTGTTTGTGTGAAAAATTATGAGAAAAAAAGTGGGAAATTTTAAGCTTATTGTGAGAATTTTTAAGCGAGAAACAAATGTTACAATTACAACACTGACTTATTCTCATAATACGAGTAATATAAATCCGTTCTCATCACGATATTATTACGTTTTACTCTATAATCAACTCAAATTGTGAGAGAATTGTTAGATTTCAATTTGAAAATGACTCAAATTTTAAACAAAGAGATTAAATGTTCTTAAAATTATTTTTAGTGTTGTACCAGTATTTTTTGTAAAGTTTCAACTAATATAACAGTAGTTAAATTATATTAGTTAAGAGAATTGTGTAAAAATAAATTAAATTAATAAAATTTAAATAAAATTTGAAAAAAAATATTTTGAATAATTTTTAATTTTAAAAAAATTTTTTAATATTTTTTTCTTTCTTTTTTATTTCTTCATATTTAATTTACAATTTAATGTTAATTTTTAATTTCTTTTTTTCTTTTTCTTTGTGTTTTCAACTTTAATATCAGAAAATTTAATAACTATAACATATTATTATGTATTTAAAGTGTGTTGCATAAATATCATTATATAATTATGTATGTAATAATATAAATATATAATAATAATAATTTTTTAATTACAATTACATTTTGTTGCTTAATAATTTTCTTATATTAGAATACAAGACTATACACACATTTTTATATTATTTTATATTATTTTTTTTTATATATATATATACAGATATGTATGTAATTGGGATTTGTAACTTAATATATAATTATATCATAATTTACTTATATATATATATGTAAGTATATTATATAGATTACAATAATCTGTTTTTTCCTTGTTTTTAAAGCAGAGGGTGCAAAATATCGTAGAAATAAAATTATTAGCCAAAGATTTTAAAACAAAAATTCCTTACCTCTTAATTAAAATGTCGGATAGAACAGAATTAGAAAAATTTAACACTACTTTGCAATTGAACAAATTGAACAGATTTATAAGCTTTTATAAAAATCATTAATAATTGATTTTGTGCTTTAAAAATGAGTACAATTTCTTATTTTTCCGTTCCTTGCAAAGAACAAATAAATCAATTGTCGTAAAATGTAGTTATGGATACCAGGAATTGTATCAGACGTCAAATTTTAAGCGAAACTAAAGCAGAATAGGATCAGTTGCTATATTACCTAAATAATTTAACCAGCTCACGAATATATTACCAAGCCTATTTAAATTAAACGAAAAGAAAGAAAAATGCTAGAGGTAAATTTCAAGAAAATAGAAAAAATAATCTTGGACCTGAAGAAACACGAATCCTGTACCCAAGTTTCGGAAAAACCATATTGTATACCATATGGGTTCCGTTTAATATTGTAGTTTCAACTATTAGCATATTAGAAATTTAATCAACTTTCTTACATTCGTATTGCAATGCAAAGACATGCACATTCATACTGAAAATTTTAACAATATTTTAAAATAAAATTGCCAAATCTTATTTTATCGTATATAGAATTTTGCAATTATCATTTAAAAAATTTTCATTATTTTGTATGTAACTTGGTGGCAATATTTTGCTTTGAAAAAGAGAGCTATTTTTATTTTAGTAAATTAACCTATTCAAATATAAACATCCTAATATAATGTTATGGACTTTTGAATAGCCTCAAGAGGCTTACAAGGCTATGTAAGTGAGAATATCAGACACCTGCGTAAATCAACAATGTTTTATGAGAGCGAAACCATGATTAGAATATAAATCAGAGATAAATAAGCTGCAAGTGTTCAGTAACAAATGCCTTCGAATTATAACCAGGATATTCTGGCCAAATAAAATTTCAAATGATGTGCTGCGGTCTCCGTGCAACCAACAGCCGATAGAAATACAAATAAAGATAAAAAAGTATAAATGGCCGAACAACATATTCACAAGTCCGAAGCATCTAATAGCAAGGCAAGCAATGAAATGGAACCCCCAGGGAACCAAAAAGGTCTGGTATACTAAAAAATACATGGAGAAGGACAGTCGTTAACGAAATATCCATTCAAAGAAAAACATAGCCCAGAACAGGGAGTCCTAATAAGGAGTTCGCAAAGGGGGAAGGGTAGTGGGGTAAAGAAGAGAGTTTTAGACATATACTTTGTAATATCACACTCTATCATCATTCAAGAAATTTTTGTGCTTACATTTCTGTATTTTCATTTCCTTTTCTTTCCGGTGCAACAAATCTTGTACCGCAAATTTGAAATCTACGGTTGATGTTCGGAACTTATTGTTATTTAGTTGGAAAATTTGGTCAAATATTATTCAATTGCAAATTATCCAATTCAAAATAATTTTAATTTGTGATATTGAATTTAAAATTTTTATATTTAAAATGTAAGAAAATTAAGAAGCCTCCCATGCCCCCCCCGTCATTGCCATTATGACTATTTAAGTGAAATTATTTTATAAAATATTTATTAGGCATTTTATAACTTTTTTAAAAATATAATATAGTTGTTTGTAATTTTAACATTTATACACAAGTGTAAATTGATTATGATGCATTCCTTTTTCTTCTTTTAATCCTTTTTTAATTTTTATTTTTTTTTATTATTAAATTATTTTTGGTAATTTCAATATTATGGTTTTCAATGATTCCAAAAATTTGATATTTTTTTCTTTTAAATTTTAGTTTTAATTTTTTTCTTTTTTTTTTTAAATAATTTTATTTTATACATAATTATTTTTTTTTTATATAATACAAAGTCATAATTATTTTTTTATGCGTGTTATTAATTATTATTAATATTATATACTTTATAAATTATTCATAGATATTTATATATTTTATAATATACAGTACATATTATGTTATATATATATATATATATATATATATGTATATAAAATATTTATAAATAGCAAATTGAAATTATAATACGACTTAATGCACTCAAAATATAAAGCCATTCTATAAATTTTAAATTAATTTTTAAATTTGATTGATTTTGATCATGATGATTATGATGATGATGATTATAATATTGATAATATAAATATTTTTTAATAAATATACTATCACTACAACTACGACTATTACCATTATTATCGTGATCTATACCATTATTATTATTATTACCACTACCATGTAATGATGTTGATGATGATGCCGGCCAACCAATACCATTTTGTGTTTTATCGAAATTATTATTTGATTTTTGTCCATTAACATTACCAAAATCATTTAATACAGATTGATATTTTGTATCTACATATATAAAATTTTATTTAATTTTGTATTAAAGAGAGAAAAAGAGAGAAAAAGAGAATAAAATAATTAAATGTTATCAATTAATAATAATTATTTGCATGTTAAAGTCTTGTGATAAATTTTAAGGTTAATGTCACAGAATTGGTGAATAATATGAGGTGAATATTGTAATGATGTTTAAAATTCATGAACTATTTTGTTAAAATTTTTTCATACTGCATATCGCGCAGGATATTAGGAGAGACTACATTATTTTTGCATATATAATTTGACCTATAAGTTCACTGTCATGTTCGCGTCAATAACTCTTTAACACTCAAAAATTTATTGTAGTCGCATTAGAAAGATTATCATAATTAAATATTTTTGTTGGATTCTTTTATTGGAATCAAATAGGTCAAAGTAAATCGACCTATAATTTAAATTAAAATATTTATTTACTAAAATTATTTTATAATTTATCATTTATTGATAAAATATTTTATTAATGGAAATTTTTTTTTTGCAAAATTATTTACTGAAATGATAATAAATATTCAGTGAAAATAATTACACTGAAAAAAGTGAGCTGGAATTTGATGCAATAATCCAAAATGTATCAATTGATTTTCAATTCTTAATTATAAAAAATAATTTTTGTTGAAATTTTGAAAATATAAATTTTTCCTTTTCCAAATTTTCTAAAATCAGTAATTTTTATCCCAAAATTTGACATACTAGTGTTGGTGTATTGGGAAAAGAACGCAAGAATCCTGGTACTTCAATGTGTTGTCTTCATTTACGTGTACCTATCATTTAACTGTACCATGATGAATAACAAAATTTTCAACGAAATTTAATTAGGTGGTACTTAAAATTTTATATTAAATTCAACTTATATTCATTTGTTCCTGTTCATACAACTAAATCTTATGAGTTGTATGAGCTACATCATATTATTTACAGTAAAATATATTTTGGTTTTGGATAGTTAATCACGTAAAAGTGAGTAAATCATCTGAATATGCCAAAGGAAATACGATTTGGAAAATTTTTAACTCGCCCCTAAAAGTATGCATATCTTTACTAATAGTAGTAGAATTATTAAAATAATCTTATTTCCCGAACTCTTACAAGAATTTTATATTTATATGATTAAATGTGTTATTGAAAAATAATATAAACTTTTATATTTCGTTATCCTAGAAGTATATAAGTGCTGAATTATTTTATTATACTTACTTTTATCATTTGGATTATATATAAATTTTGGTTGATATGGATTATTTGGATTTTCATTCCAATCAGTGGTTGTAAAGCCTTGAGGTGTTGTTGGTGGAGTTGATACTGAAATACCAATAGAAAAATAGAAAATTTTTTATTTTTTTATATTTTTATTTTATTTTAAAATTAACTGTTATTTTAATAATCAGCTTTAATCAAGTATATTTGGTTTCTGTTTTTGAACTAATTGTAAATGTAATCGCAAATTACATACTTAAATAATTTAGAAATTCTGTGAAGATTTAAAAATTATTAAGCCAAAAACTGCATTTAGAAATTTTCCAAATTATTATTTCAATTTCATATATCCTTTAAGCTATAATTGTTTAATAAAGGAACCTATAAAATGTTTTGGTATTTTTAAGAAATTTACAATTTTCATTCAATTGTGTACAATATTTAAATTTAAGTCCTATATTATGGTAATATACATACATACAACTGCCAGCTAAATATTATGTAAAATAATTTTAAAAACTCTCTATAAATTCCCTGTATATAACAGTATTAATAACCATTATATTAACATATGATATGAACCTTGATTATTTTAAACACATTACCTAATATTAAATTGAATTAATATACGAAAAAAAAAAAAGAAAAAAGGCAAATTATAATATGATTGAATAAATAAAATAATAATTTTTTTTCCAATGAATTATTATGGAAATGCAACAGGTGAAAAAATATATATACCCATCCAAATGATGGACAAACTGTGTGTAGAACGTAAAAATTTTATAAATTGTACAAATACGTACATATGTGCGTGTATATAATTCAATTTTTCTCATATAATTTATTTTTAGCATATCCTTTTAGCTGGTATGTGTACACAACAGACTTTCATATACATATACGTATATATTATTATAATAGTATCATAACAGTATAATATCATTACATTTATTATTACGTCTCCTAAAATAATAAATACAAAAAAAAATAAAATGTCCCTTTAGGGTAAACAATGGTAAAAATTCACTAATGTTATACCCACACGTATGTATGTATGTGTATATATAAAAAACAAAAAATTTTGCAACTTGTCAGTCGAGCGTAAATTATTACATGTGTACATATATATAATAATGTACAAATATAAAAATAATCAATTTTTGTTTCCTATATTATTTCAGTTTTATAATTTAAAAAAAAAAATTAAAAAATAAAAACAAAAAAATTCATTTTAATTTTTCTCCTGATTTTACATATTTTATGTAAATTATGTGCATGTAAATATTACATACGAAATGTGTATGTTCTCCATTTTTATACCCTACTCTTTCGCAAGTCGAGTAATGTGAATGACAGTATTGTTAAATAAATAATAAAAGAATCTCATATTAAGTTATGAGATTCTCATTTTAGTTATTTCTCTCTCTTCTCTCATAATTTTGATTAATGAACGCTATGAAACTACAAATGCAAGCTGCAACTTCAAACTCAATTTTATTTTTGTTTTTTAATTTTACTGTTGCTGCTTGTAATATATTTTATTCATGACAGTGAAAAGTTTACTTTTTTTTGTGTACTTTTTAAACATGGAGCAAAATGTTTATAACATAAATTTTGTTGTTGTTTCTGTGACTTTATTATATAATATTTTGTAAAAGGTTCAAGCCCAAATTTCTTGATACGGATTTCAATTGGAGATATTACGGCTTATAATTCAATTCGATTAAAATATGAATTTCGAGAGCAGCTTTTTTTAAAATTCTCATGAACTCAAACTCACTCGGATAAATATTAATAGCACCGGATGATGGAGAATTAAATAGAATATCTTATAAAATTAAAAATTTAAATAAAAAAATTTAAATTTCAAATTTGTAACTTTGAAATTCTCTTTCTGTTGGAAATGTAAAATTTAGACCCATTAATTTGTAATACCCAAAATAGAGCAGTAATAGAGTATAATAGTGTATAAAAATAGAGTATAAATAGAGTAATACCCAAAATATCAAATAAGAGTGTAGACTAATTACAACCAAGATTCATATGGCAATTTCAAAGTTGAATACATAGATCGCCTTTGAATATTTCATTAATATTTTCGGTTCTGTAATATATAGGCCAGTAGGGTATAAACTTGTCGACAAATAAAGTATTTTGATTTCCTGATATTTGTTTGTTTTTCATTTTGTATATTATATGATGACGTGATTTTACCTTTAAAAATTCATTTGAATATTTTTTGCCTTTTGGGAAAAATATTTATGCGTTTCTTTTTTTCGCTCAACATTTTGTACTGTAATCTTTTTTGTTTCTTTTTTGTGTTTATTCCAAAAATAACTCAAAAAAAAAAAAAAAATTATAAAACGTGCAAAAAATTATTCAGTTATTTTGCTTTCTCATTTTCAGTTTTTGCTCTTTTTCGCGTTCGCATTTTTGTAAAATCAAGTTATCAACTGTCAAATAAAATGACACAAAATAAATTAAATATAATATGCTGCATTTTCGAAGTCTGTTTATTACCGACCGTATTGTGTAAACAATAGGTAGGTTATGTGATGGCAACAAATTTTGCATATCGAGTTTTCGGTGGGAACGTACTTCTCCATAGTAGGGAAGTGTAAATAAACTATTTTTAGCAACCTGTCGGTCTGTCGGTCTGTCGGTCTGTCGGTCTGTCAGTCTGTCGGTCTGTCGGTCTGTCCGTCTGTCGGTCTGTGTGTGCACGCGTGTATCTCAAGTTCGGCTGAACCGATTTTGATGAAATTTTATATGTAAGTTTGTTTCCACCATGGCACGGATCGATCAACTTTTGGTATATATCAGGCCTCGGGAACTGCACTTTTTAGCGGGCCTGTTTTACATTTTTGAACATTTTGAAGAAAGTATTCAACCGATTTACTTGAAATTTTATATATAAGCTCAGCTCGACCGTCCGCAAAAATTCGTATGTTTTGGAAGAAATCAGGCATCAGCAACTGGGCGTTTACTACGGGCCAAATATACACTTTTGTGTATATAAAGAGAAATAATCAACCGATTTCATTGAAATTTAATATATGAATTCCTCATATTAAAGCAATGAACATATAACTTTTTTGGAAAGACCAGGGCTCGAAAACTGATTTGCGGGCCGATTTTACATTTTTCACCATATCCACAGAACAAATTGATGGAATTTCTTGAAATTTGATATTTGAGTTCTGGTTGCTACCGAAACTAACTGGCGAGCATTTCAGGGAATTCGGGTAGCACAAAGCGAAACTCTACTAAGAGCCAAATTTACATTTTTCTAAGTATGTTAACTATAAGCTCACTAATGTCCTAAAAATTGGAAAGAAGTATTTAACAGACATTTTTATAATATTCTGTAACACTTTCATTTAACTAGACAATACACAATGCGGTCGGTTATGTGCTGACCACATCAGATTTTTTTTTGTTTGTTTTGTAGCGCACGTATAATATGAATTCAATAGGTACACTAAAATTTTACAAATTTGAAAAACTCAAATGTCGTAAATGACCCTATAATACAAGGTATTTGTTACTATTATAAATTTATACGTAAATGTGTATATGAAATGTGTATGTGTCGTATGGGAATAGGACATGACGTTATGTCTACAATATTAGTTTTTATTTCTTTTATAATATTAAAGGTAACTGAAGAGTTTAATGCACTATTTGATATTTTTGTATTAAATTTGACAATGACAAATTCAATTGTCAGTTGAATATTAATTTTCTATATTTTTGGAATTCATATTTTTTTTTTTGGCATACGCAATGTTTATGCAAATGATGACATAAAATCAAAATTTAAAATAAAAAATATTTAAAAGGGTTAATAGTCATAATATATTTTGTGATATTTAGTAAGGAACTATGTATAACTGTTATAATATACAAGAAGAGCTTGTATATAGAACAATTGTAAGAAAAATTCCTTTATATGCATTGCATTTTTTGCCTACGCGTAATTGTTATAATCACATACGAAATTACGGCAAAACAGAGACATTTACATAAAAACTTCTGCCTGAAGAGATATGCATATATGCGTGTATAACAGTATTCAACAAACTAAAATGTGTTTGGAAATATTTTATAGAACAAATCGTTTCTCGAACATTTTTCAAAATAAAATTCATTTAAACTTCTGGCTCTTCTTCAAATATTTATGAGATTAGGACCAATATTAAAAATTTGCAATATTCCAGCGTTTACTACCTAAAATTCCACAACCTATTACATTTTACCCTGCTAAACAATTGAATATGATTATTGTAGACTTTACAAACATAATTTCACAAACAGGATGCTGAAATTATTGCAAAAATAAGTACTAAAATTCTTCAAGTGTAAAAAGGCCGAAATATGCGAGTATATATTCGTTTAAAGAGGTCAAATATTGTAAATATTTAAAGATTGAACAAAATGTATATCAGAAAAGGATGTTAATTGTCTCTCTACAGTTAAGGTGATTAAGTAGTTAAAGTGATTTTGCTCCTCATCGTGGATTCAAAATTTGATTTTCTTTGTAAGCAAATAATTGAAGAAATCTTCTTCCAATAGAGTAAAAAATAATATTAAAGAATAAAAATATAATATTAAAATGGCCTTTAAATTCCTCCATTGTGGTATTTTCGTATAGTCATTTGTTTCGACTACATTATCACTCATAGAATAACCCTGTAAAAAGAAATTATTAGAGTATATTTTTAAGAGTACATTTGTTCTAAAAAGACATAAGATAATTCATCTGAAATCTGGAATACAACAAACAATTACCATTAAATTGTAATTGATATCTATAACTCTATACAATTTTAAATTAATCTTCCACTATTATAGTTCTTAATTTGTAACAGAATTCAGAATGAAAGACTTAGAGTTCAATTATAGTACACTTTACACCAATTATTATTATTGTGCACAGATTTTATGTGTTTTTTTGGGTCAAAAGCAAAAAAAAATTTATTCAATTAAAATTTCAATATGCCAATTTCTTGTTAAAAAATAATTAAAATTCAATATACAGATGCACTTGCTGAAATCTTGAAGAAGAAGTCAATTACCTTATATTCTCAATATTATTACAA